ATACCCCACTCAGACACAGTATATTGACTCCGAGCCGACCAGTCCTTGTTTTAGCCCCTTAATGTCGAGCGCCAGACAGGGTAACAACAAGTCTTTTGGTATGACGCGGCCGGGGATCGAACCCAATATGGTAATAGACATAACAAAGATATTAATTTGGTCATTGGTTTCTTTTATTCTTAAAGGTGATTAATATTTAAGTTTCTTTTCCTTACTGCCTTTAGGGACTTTGGGAATATGTTCTGTAAACAAGTACCCGGTAATTAAATTGGCCTTGTTCTAACAAAGAAATAATATAAACTCATCTCAAGCAGATAGATTTCTCCTTTTTCTTTACAATCCATTAAACGCCTACATGAAGCTTAATCATCCACTTCAGCAAGCAAAATACAAAACTTCAATTTCCTGTGATGCTAGTCATTTTAAAGTGTAGCAATCAATGTTTCATGGTGTGTCATTTCTCCTAAAATAACCCAGAAATAGCAATCACTTGTACAATGTCATGTTCCCCTGACCTATCAACCTTGTTCAAAGAAATTCAAAGTGCTGAAAATGATATACAGTCAAACATTGTTGTGTCAAAGTTGAAGGGACCTACATAAATACTTGTGAGTTACCCGAGTTTCGACACAACTGAAACTGGGGAATAAATTAGAATACGCAGGGACCAAGATTTCACTTCACGATAACCATAAGTTTGACAATATTTAAAATAAAAATATTAAATGAACTTTTGAATTAGATTAATGAAATTGATTAAAAACTGATACAAACAAGCCAGGAACACCCTGTACACCTATTATTATAAAGGGAATTTTAAAAGTGTACTTCACTTCTTATTTGTTGACAAATTCTATTTCCAGTGTTATCTGCTCGCCATACTGTTTTCACTTTGGACACACAAAATCAGAACTCAATGTCTGTGTATATAATATGCACACCCCTCAACCAAGTTATCTTTTTCGCGGTGTGTGTGTGTGTGTGTGTGTGTGTGTGTGTGTGTGTGTGTGTGTGTGTGTGTGTGTGTGTGTGTGTGTGTGTGTGTGTGTGTGTGTGTGTGTGTGTGTGTGTGTCTGGCTGTGTGTGTGTGTGTCTGTGTGTGTGAGTGTGTGTAAAATAGCCCTGCAATTGTCCATCTGACAAAAACAACTTACCTGATTTCTCAATGTTTTGTATAGTACCTAAGCAAAGCAAAAACTCCAATCATGAGATCGTGGTCACTGTCAGGGAGTTGAGAGGAAAACCAGTCAACTTGGCCTCCAAAACTGTTTGTAGGAGGGCTAGGGTTTGGTCGTTAGCGACACTAAAATATGTTTGTCATTTTTCACAACAGTGTGTTTTTGAGTATGACTGTACGGGCTTGATTTAACTATAGTAAAGTGTGCATTATGCTTATGAAACTATCATGTCAGAGTAATGTGGGAGGATAGCTGTAACGGGCGAAGGGGTTCGAAGTTTACCAACAAAGACAGAGCAGTGCTGACAGACCAGGGATCATAATCTGGGTGGATATGGGATTCAAACCCATGACCAACAGATCCTTACATGGCTAAGGGTAACAACTCTGAGAGATACATCATCTCAGAACCCTTGGCCAACTGTGGTCCTCTCAGAACTAAATAACAAGGGGTGTTAAAGGTCGATTCCGCCACATGGCACAGACACAGATTGTGGACCACCTCCATGGTCTAGTGGTTGAGCGTCCGCCTGGAGAGCGGAAAGTCCGGGGTTCGATTCCCAGCTGCATCATACCAAACGACTTTTAAAGATGGTACTTGTTGTTACCCTGTCTAGCGCTCGGCATTAAGGGGCTAAAAAAGGACTGGTCGGCTCAGAGTCAGTATACTGTGTCTGAGTGGGGTATTCAGGTTAAACTGTGGCATGGTATCTCAGTGGGCTAGCACTATAAATCGACATCAGTCCAGACTAGTACAAGCAGAGAGAGAGACACACACACACACAGAAACGATATTGTTATGTCCATACACAGAAGATTGTAATATCATGGAAGATATCTGGATCAAGACCATTCCACTGACATTAGCTGAACAAGGATATCTCAGAACCTAGCTAAGACAGGAATTTCCCTCACATAAAAGACAGCAGGTATACCAGTGTTTCTTTAATTCTGTTTCATGTGAGAATCTGATACTAGCCACAGAAATGTCAAGACAGATTTCCAACAATAACAGACACTTATCTTGCCAAAATCACCAGCGTTCATCTGCTTGAGCTTAACATGGCCAGACATTACCGTTCTTGTGTTAATATGTACCAGTTTTTCTAAGGGATTTTATCAACTCTCATATTCATTTGAGTACATCCAGAAAAAAAAGCCAGAATAAAGGTCACTATACCTTACCTTTGTCCATGGTAAATAATATATACAATGTTCTTATCCAGTTGTCTTACTTTAACTATTTGTGGCCTTTAGTTAAGCTGTTTTAGTATCTGCATGAGGAGTTTGCAATTGGATGACAATGAGAACAAGTATTTGTCACAAAGTGACGAAATGTCCCCCGCCTGTATATACACCATGGTACCAAATATGAAGACAATCCAGCGATTAGTTCTTGAGATATTGCGGCAACACCGTTTTCCAACTCCCAAAACAGATTTGCCTGCTGTGATCTTGAAAATGGGGTCAAGGTCACCAAAACCGACTGGTGTATGCGGTGTCTGTATATACACCATAGTTCCAAATATGCAAACAATCCAGTGTTTAGTTCTTGAGATATCGCTGCAACACCGTTTTCCAACTCCAAAAGCAGATTTGCCTGCTGTGACCTTGAAAATGGGGTCAAGGTCACCAAAACCGACTGGTGTCTGCGGTGTCTGTATATACACCATAGTTCCAAATATGAAGACAATCCAGTGTTTAGTTCTTGAGATATCGCGGCAACACCGTTTTCCAACTCCAAAAGCAGATTTGCCTGCTGTGACCTTGAAAATTGGATCAAGGTCACCAAAACCGACTGGTGTCTGCGAGTCTGTATATACACCATAGTTCCAAATATGAAGACAATCCAGTGTTTAGTTCTTGAGATATCGCGGCAACACCGTTTTCCAACTCCAAAAGCAGATTTGCCTGCTGTGACCTTGAAAATGGGATCAAGGTCACCAAAACCGACTGGTGTCTGCGGAGTCTGTATATACACCATAGTTCCAAATATGAAGACAATCCAGTGTTTAGTTCTTGAGATATCGCGGCAACACCGTTTTCCAACTCCAAAAGCAGATTTGCCTGCTGTGACCTTGAAAATGGGATCAAGGTCACCAAAACCGACTGGTGTCTGCGGAGTCTGTATATACACCATAGTTCCAAATATGAAGACAATCCAGTGTTTAGTTCTTGAGATATCGCGGCAACAAACATGTGGGACGTACGGACGGACAGTCGTGAATACTATATCCCCCGCTTCGCGCTTTCGCGCGGCGGGGGACAATTAAATTAAATCAACTTCTACTTTTAATAAGTAGGGTGCAGTCGGGTAGCCTCGTGGTTAAAGCGTTCGCTCGTCACGCCGAAGACCCGGGTTCAATTCCTGACATGGGTACAATGTGTAAAGCCCATTTCTGGTAGCCCCCGCCATGAGTTTGCTGGAATATTGCTTATAGCAGCGTAAAATCAAACTCACTCACTCACTCACTTCAATAGACAGGTCAATCATACAACCACATTAGTTATCCTTCAAACATGATTGACTTGACCTATTGCATGTCGACAAGAGGGCACAGGTGACCAATGGCCTAAAAGGCCCCAATTTGCTATGCAGAGTTGTTTACCTTGATTGTGCCTGGATCTGATGATCATGAGTTCGAATCCCAGATTAGTCTGTTTATGATCCTTGAGCTGTCAGCACCGTTCCCTCTTTGAGACTTTCATATACGCTCCTTAAGTCAATGGTAATCCTAACTATGTTTTTTAAATTAAAGTTTCCAACAAAGACACCTGGCAGATGTGAATTCAAGTAATAGAAAATGATTGGCTTATGTTACTGTTATTGTGAATCTTTGTTTGTTTGTTGTTTAACACTACACTCAGCAATATTCCAGCTATATGATGGAGGTCTGTAAATAATGGAGTCTGGACCAGACAATCCAGTGACTGACATCATGAGTATCCATCTATGCAATAGGGATACGATGACATTCAATCAACCAAGTCAAAGAGCCTGACCACACGATCCTGTTAGTCACCTCTCATGGCAAGCATGGGTTGCGGAAGATCAGGTTTCATCCAGATTTCATGGATTCTTATTGTGAGTGAGTGAGTTTGGTTTTACGCTGCTTTTAGCAATATCCCAGCAATATCACGTCGAGGGACACCAGAAATGGGCTTCACACATTGTACCCATGTCGGGAATCGAACCTGGGTCTTTGGAGTGATGAGCGAACGCTTTAACCACTAGGCTAACCGACCGCTCCTCTTATTGTGTATCTAGATGAGATGGTCAATAATACTGAGAGGGACTAGTGATTATACTGGGAACCACACTAGAGTGAGTAAATTTGACTGAGGCCAAAATAATAAAATAAATCTGTAGATGATAGGGAGATTCATTGATTCATTGATTTGTAATTCCACACTCAGCAATATCACAGCTCCATGACAGGGGTCTGTAAATAATCATGTGTTGACCAAACAATCCAGTGATTAATATCAAGAACATTGATCCACACAATCGGCATACAATGACATGCAATCAACCAAGTCTGCGAGTCTGACCTCGTATCCATTTGGTCGCCTCTCATGACCAGTAGAGGTTGCTAGGGACCTATATTCTAACCCAAATCCCCATGTATTTCCGTTTAACAAGAGAATGAAGCACAAAGAACCCATGACAAGAAACAAGAGAAACAAGGGTTCAACATTACACCAGGTCAGCCAACCAAAGGGAGGTAACTGTAATGAAGATTATCAAATCATTGCATGTAAAGGTCTCAGTATTTATACCTCAGCTAAAGGCCAGATACAAAGATTGGAAGAAAATATATACCTGTGAGATCAGCATGCCAGGGTAGAAGGCTGTTCATAGATGAGAACCAATAGTAGAGGATCCAGGCGATATACGTGTTATTGTACAGTGCGAATAACGTCGATACCAGGACCATGCTGTAGCCCATCCCTGAAACAGTCGCAGTTGCAGCATTACAAACATGGAGGAAAAGATGGGTGGATGATGAAATGTTTTCATCAAAATCATATTGTATTGGGTGAAAATGATACCAGATATGACAGTAGAATGTTGTGAGCAAGCAGGACACAGTTATTCTTCCTAAACTTGTAGATCCATGACAGATGCCATACCTCATGAAATACAGGGGTTGGTGGGGTAACCTATTGCGTTCACCCGTCATGTCGATGGCCCGCCTTTGATTCCTTAATTGGGCACAAAGTGTGAAGCCAGTTACTGGTGATATTGCTAGAAAATTGCAAAAAGTGGCATAAAACCATGCATGCTCACTTAATACAGGCATGTTTCTGAAAAAAAGGCATTTGCAAAGGCTTAAAAAATTAAAGAATTGGTTCTCAGGCAATGGTTTTTGAAAATATAGTGTGGGTGGGCGGTGTCTTTTTTCTTTATTTTGTTGTTCAAACTTGTATGTAACCAAATAAACAAGCAACCTGGGATAATGCCTCCCTACATAAATGTATTCCTCCAGTAAAGTACTGGAATACAGTATCTGACCACATTTGGACTTAGAATATTTAAGGATTATTTTGGGTTTTTTAAATGGAAATAAAAAAGGAAACATGGGATGAACTTTGTGATGATGCAGGCGGTGCCTGCATGGGAACCAAGACTTTTGATTTTTTTTTAGCCAAACGGGATTAATTTCCATACTGCTGGCCTAACATCCTAGAAATATTAAAATATTTCAATTGGACGATCTGGTCAAGTTATTACCTGATGTCCAGGAAGTTCAGATAAGAGGTTCACAGTTGGGCCACCCATGCTCCCAAGGGTAAGAGAGGTTATCGCAGTATCACAAGGGGTATATGCGGTTTTATCATATAATGGGTTGGTTTCTAGGCAGGATAAAGCCAACGAATAAACACGGTAACCGATGGGATCATATATGGATAAAGATGCAAAATAAAAGGTCAGGTAGGTACTACTTTCAGTGTTTCCAAACAAACACAGCATCGCCCTTTTCAATTGGTGATCAAATCAGAATTAACCATCGAGAATCTGGAGAATCTACTGGGATAATTGCTATCATTTTCAAACGTATATAGTTGAATACACTGAAAATCAATGTCTAACCAGGATGTAACTAAGACATTTTACAAGTTTGGGCAACTTTGGAGATATAAATTACAAAACAATTTAGCGAGGACACCAGCCGGGCTGGATCAGTTTCCATATCTGTGCTTGTCGACCTCTGCGGCCTGGGTCCTTTTCCCCCCAACAGTTGGATTTGGCCGAAATATGTCTGTATTGTTACCCTGTTTTGTTTTGTTGTTATGTGTACATCTGACTTTGATTGTAATGTTATGTCCAGCTGAAGTGATGCAGACTCAAAACAAATGTCTCAGAGATTAGGGTTAGAGTAGCTTCCCTTTGATAAAGGACAGTTACTCTAGTGGGTGGACCAATTGAATGCCGCGAAAGGCAGAAAAACAAAATGTGCCGGCAATTGAGAGTATTTGAGACAAGTGGAATTAACACCATCTGGATTCTCAAAAACTCAAAGGATTTGCTTGACTTTTTGCAATCTCAGAAAAAAACCAAGTTCCATTCTGTCAAAACATTTGATTCTTCAACTTTGTGCACCACTGTCCCACATGACAAACTTAAGGAAAAACTTCATTTATTGATTGATTCATGGGGCTTTTGTTACAAAACGTGGGGACCACAGATATAGTTATCTATTTTCAGAGGTTCAGGACAATTTGCTCAAAAGGAAAGCGAATGCCATCTGAAGTTTACTGAGAAAGAAATATGTGAAATGCTGGACTTCCTCGTTGATAGCATCTACATAACCTTTGAGGATAAGACATTTAGGCAAGACATAGGCATCTCCCTAGGTACCAACTGTGCTCCCCGTCTTCCGGATCTGTTTCTTTATGCATTTGAATCGGAATTTCTGCTTGGATTGGCAAAGTCAAAACAATTTAAGGTAATTTGGCCAAGAAGTTTATCTTGAGCTTCAGGGGTATCAGTGATCTGATAACGTTCAATAGCACAGAATTCCCTTCCACTGATTTACCAACCTGAAGTAGAAATAAAAAAGACCAGTGAGACCACCTCATCTGTTTCATATTGAGATCTATACATAAAGATTCAGAGTGACAAAACACTCTCCACAAGACTGTATGACAAGATGGATGACTTTTATTTTCCAACAGTCAACTTTCCCTTCATGTCGAGCAATATTCCAGCAGCTCCAGCCTTTGGTGTTTACATTTCACAACGTTTGAGTTACAATCAGGCATGCTCCTTCTACCAAGATTTCAATGAAGATCGTACAACTCTTGCTCAGAAGTTGTTTGATCAAGGTTACAACATTCAAGGCTTTTAAAGCTACATGTGGAGGACATTTCCAAAGTTGACGCATCAGTGACAAAAAATATGTCCGATGCAGTTCCCTATTTTGACTTGTACCATATGTTCCTGTGCTTTTTTCAGGTGAACAATTGACTTGACTTTGCATGTGTTTGTGATGGGTGCCACCGGTGGGGCAGGATATGTTCACCTTTTCGCAAACACCTGGTATCATCACTATGTGATAGCAATTCATAAACACATGATCATGATATAGTCGGAATCGTACAATCGACACTGCTTTAAGCAGAGATTTCTATTCGATATGGAAAGTGTTTTGTTGCTTTATTTGGATATCTGTCCTTACACCACTCCTAAGATTCAGGTTTCAGTTGGAACTATACTGACTGCTGTCATTGTCTGACTGACAAATCACTTTCCATCTGACGTAATATATAACGATGCGAACATTCCAAGAAAATTTGCAATGTTAAGGTAATGTTTCTGAGAGATGAGAGTTTTTCGACAAGGGAACTTAAGAATGACATTACGTGATAAAGATGTTATCACGCTTGTGTGTTCTGGGATGGTAAATATCCTGTATTAGGAATAAACACTATGTATTTTACATGCCAAGGCTAGCTAAATACAATGATTATTCCTAAAATAGGATATTTGCCATCCCAAAACATACACGCGTGATAACCTTTATTTATCCATCTCTGGCCAGTGATATAAATACAGAGACACAAAACATCTCATTTACTCCTCAGGATACTGCTACAACTAAAGTACTCATGGAAATGAAAAAACCCTGTTTTGCTGGATTTAATAATCGACACAAAGCATTACGTAGATGTAAATACGAAATAACAAAACAACTGGAAAAGTACTAGTCTGGATTTGCTAGTTTTATCTCAGTGCTCAATACAAAATGTACTTTACAGGAGGTAATTTGTAGGCACTTTCAACATTCAAAAATAAAACTAAGTCCAAATTGACATGGCAGAAACAGGCTATCGGCATTATGCGAATTAGCCTGGAAAAAAGTTAACAAAACAACCATAAAAATAACAGATATGTTTATGTACATAATAATAATGACATGTAAGTTGTTGTTTGAGAAGGGAATATGTTACTTTTACGTTCTGATATTTTGACGATGATTCACTATCCCACAATGCCACTCACAAATCACTAACCACTGACAAATCACATGCATGTGGGTTTCAAGCACCTGTTTTCACCTGTCATCAAGGTGTCATAGGTCATGGACATTCACCTTGATCTACTAACACCTGGTTATCCTCAGTTTCACAACAGTCTGTTTTGTTCATATTTTTACACACTTTTATGTGTAAAAAGACATAAAAACCTTTGATACGCTGTATTTGTGCCAAGGCCCAATAAGTACTAATTGTTGTTTGAATATTTATATATTTTGTATATTAACTGCATTTGTTTAAAATCTGAGATCGAAATAAACGGGTTTTTTCATTTCCGTGAGTACTTTAATCTATCATGACAATCTGTCATTGTGAAAGAATTCAAACAAATTGAATGCTGTTCCATTGAGCTGAGGTTAACTTGTGCTGTGGCACATGACTTTTATTTACTTGAAACAATGTGCAACTTTTTGCTTTGTAGTGGGGAGATTTATTGTCCCACTCAGAAATAAATGTGCAGCCTGTTTTCTTTGTGGCAAATATAAGAGATTTATTGTCCTTTAATTTTTTTCCCTCCCAGGTGGGATATGTAGTACTGTATTCGACGTAATAAGCACCCAGAGTGCTCTTAAAATTATAAATAGGGGGCTCTTATTAGAATATAATTTTGGTGAAAAATAAACAAAGTTAAAAGATCGTAAATTTCGTGGTTTATGCTGACAGCCTGAAATGATACAAAAGAAAAGTCTGTGCGTATTATACACGACAAACATATTTTTCCAGAATTTAATTGCCCGTAATTAAGGGTGCATATAACACACGAGTGTGTTTATACACAAATAAATAAGTCTTGTGTACATTGATCAATCGGAAGGGGTGCCAATTGGGATTGTTCACTTGCCAATATATCAGCAAATATCGCTGTGGGCGCTTATTAGAGTGGGCACTTATTACGTCGAATACGGTATTTTATCAAGATGATGTAAACAGATCAGATCTGAACACTCTGATGTGGAGGTGAGATAGGAGAGATTATAGTTACACAATAGCAGTAAAAACATGGTTGGTTTGTTTGTTGTTTAACGCCGCACTCAGCAATATTCCAGCTATATGATGGCGGTCTGTAAATAATCGAGTCTGGACCAGACAATCCAATGATTAATATCATGAGCATCTATCCACTCAATTGCGATCAATGACATGCATCAACCACCCGATCCCGTTAGTCGCCTTTTACGACAAGCATAGTCGCCTTTTACGGCAAGCATGGGGTGCTGAAGACCTATTCTACCCCGGATCTTCACGGGTTTAATAAAAACATCGGCTAGGGCCATTGTTCTCAGGGCACCAATCGAACACCATCAACACAACTTATTTGGACCTGTTGAAATTTTCCATATATATCAGCACAGGAAGTTTGGTAACATCTGATAATGCTGCCATTTGGGTCTGGAGCACCCTTCACAAGTG